GGTGGTCCAGGTCTTGGGGGTTCAGGTTTGGGGGGCCCTAGATTTGGATTGTACAAGTCTATTAGTCTAGGTGATTCAGATCCTTAGCATCCAGATTTAGGAGTTTCAAGTCTAGGAGATTCAGGTGCAGGTTCAGGGGACCCAGGGGGTCTGGGTTGTTGAGTTATGTTCCTTGTATCCCGAGAATTTCAAGGGCCTTAATCATAAATGGGTGTTGTGCTTTGTTGAAAGCTTTCTCAGCATCTATTGATATTATCATATGGTTTTTATATTTCTTTTTGTTGATGTGTTGAATTACATTGATTGATTTTCGGATGTTGAACATCCTTGTGTCCCTGGAATAAATCCTACTTGGTCGTGGTGAATTATCTTATGGATATGTTGTTGGATTCTGTTAGCTAAAATTTTATTGAGGATTTTTGCATCAGTGTTCATTAGAGAGATTGGTTTGTAGTTTTCTTTTTTTGTGTTGTCCTTGTTCGGTTTTGGTATTAGTGTAATGTTGGCTTCATAGAACGTGTTTGGTATTGTCCCTTCCTTCTCAATTTTTTGGAAGAGTTTGTGAAGGATTGACACTAGTTTGTTTCGGAATGTTTGGTAGAATTCATTTGTAAATCCATCTGGTCCTGGGCTTTTTTTCGGGGGAGGTTTTTGATTACTATTTCATTTTCACTGCTTGTAATTGGTCTGTTTATGTGTTCTATTTCTTCTTTCTCTAGCTTTGGGTGATTGTAAAGTTGTAGGAATTTGTCCATCTCTTCTAGATTATTGAATTTGTTTGCATATAAGTATTCATAGTAGTTTCTGATTATTCTTTTGATTTCTGCTGTGTCTGTTGTGATTTTTCACCTTTCATTTGTAATCCTACTTATTTGTGCTTTCTCCCATTTTTCCTTTGTGAGCCTGGCTAGGGGTTTGTCTATTTCATTTATTTTTTTGAAGAATCAACTTTTGGTTTCATTGATCTTTTGGATTTTTTTTAAGTTTCTATTTCATTTATTTCTGCTTTGATTTTTTTCATTTCCTTTCTTCTACTGGTTTTAGAATTTTTTTTATTGTTCTCTTTCTAGTTCTTTGAGATGTGTGATTAGGTTGTTTCTTTGAGTTCTTTCTTGTTTCTTGACGTGAGCCTGTATTGCTATATGTTTTCTTCTTATTACTGCTTTTGCTGCATCCCATACATTTAGGAAATTGGTGTCCTCCATGTCATTCAACTCAAAGTATTTTTTAGTTTCTTCTTTGATCTCTTCATTAGTCCAGTGGTCTTCCAGTAGTGTGGGTTTCAATCTCCATGAAGTAGGAGGATCGTTGCCTTCTTTTTATGGTTTATTTCTAGTTTGATGCCTTCATGTTCAGAGAAGATGGTTGGTATGATTTCAATCTTGGTGTATCTGTTGATGTTTGTCTTGTGTCCCAGTATTTGATCGATCCTGGAGAATGGTCCATGTGTACTTGAGAAAAATGTGTACTAGATTTTTTGGAGTGTACTGTTCTGTAGATGTCTGTTAAGCCCATGAGCTCTAGATCCTTATTTAGAGCTTTAGCGTCCTTGCTTATTTTTTTGTTTTGTTGATCTATCCATTGTTGATAGTGGTGTGTTGAAGTCTCCTACTACATATGTGTTTTCTCCGTTGTTTGTTTTCAGAGATGATAATAGTTGTCTGATATATTTTGGTGCTCCTTCATTTGGTGAGTATATGTTAATGAGTGTTATGTCTTCTTGATGTATTGTCCCCTTCATCATAATGCAGTAACCGTCTGTGTCTCTTTTTATCTTTTTGAGCTTGAAATCTGTTTTATCTGATATAAGTATAGCTGTTCCTGCCTTCTATTTTGGTCCATTTGCTTTTAGCATTGTTTTCCATCCTTTTACTTTCAGTCTATTTTTATCTTTTTAGTTAAATGTGTTTCCTGGAGACAGCAAAAGGTTGGGTTTTGTTTCTTAATCTATCCTGTGACTCTGTGTCTTTTTATTGAAGAGTTTAGTCCATTTACAATTAGAGGAGTTAATATTGATATGTTAGCATCTGTATTTGCCATTTTGTTTGTCTTTTCTCTGTTTTTATTTATTTATGTTTTAATTTTTTTTGTCTTGTTTTGTTCTTATTCATCCCTCTTTTAGTTCTGGCTTTAGGGCTCCTTGTAGTATTTTTTGGAGTGTGGGTTTGTCGTAATGAAATTCTGGAGTTTCTGTTTGTCTGTGAAGTTCCTTATTCTTTCTTCATAGAGGAAGAAAAGCTTTGTGGGATAGAATATTCCTGGTTGGCATTTGTTGTCTTGGAGTTTGTTGACTATGTCCCTCCACTCTCTCCTTGCCCATAGTGTTTCTTCAGAGAAATCTGATGTCAGTCTGATTGGTTTTCCTTTGTTTGTTACGTGTTTCTTCCCTCTTGTCAGCTTCATTATTTTTTCTTTGTCTTGGATTCTTGGGAGCTTTGCTATTATGTGTTTTGCTGTATTTTTCCTTTCATCATGGAAGTTTGGTGTTCTCACTTCTTGTATGTCTATTTTCAGCTCCTTCTTCATGTTAGGGAAGTTCTCTTCAATTATTTTCTTGAATATTTTCTCTGTTCCTATGTCTCTCTCCTCTCCTTCTGGGATTCCTATAACTCTTATATTTCCTTTCCTCATGGAGTCAGATAGTTTGTGAAGTCTTTCTTCATTCTTTTTCCTTCGTACTTCTCTTTCCTTTTCTGTTTTAGTTCTTTTTATTTCTGTGTCTTCGAGAGTACTTATTTGTTCTTCCATTTCATCTATTCTGCTTCCATTGCTTTTCCCAGAGTTCTTTAGCGCCTCCATTAATACTTTGATCTTCTGCATTTCTTTCACTTCCCTCTTTAGGGACTCAATTTCAATCTTCTGATTGTTGACTATTTTTCCCATATCATTTTCGACTTCTTTCAGTTATTTAATCATGGTGGTTTTAAATTCTCTATCGGGAAGACTTATAAGTTCCTCTCATTCACTGGTGTTGCAGCCTGGTGTTTGATTGTCTTTTTGTGGTGTGTCCTTTCCCTGGGGACGTGCTTAGTTGCTTGTAATTTTTCTTCTCCCTGCTGCTTGTTTTCTAATTTTTCCTATGTGTTGGGACACTGTGTCACCAGTACTGGCAGGCATCTCTTTGATGTGCTCTTTCTGGGTTGTCAGGAACTGGTGGTCCAATTGAGTCCCATACTATTATGCCAGAAGTCCAGTAGGGCAATGGTATTATGTATATGTTAATGGTCACTGTCCCTGAAAATCTCCTCCCTCTATATTTGTTTAATTCCACAGACTTTCTTGGCAGTGGTTTGATCACTTGCTGGGCTCCAAATTGCTGGATCCCCCTCTGGGCTCTAACTTGCTGCCAGGTGGGGCCTGGCTTGTGGGGGCCTTCAGCTCACCTCTGACTGTGGGGACAGCCCTTTCTCAGTTCCACACAGCAGCTTTGGTGAGGTCCAGATGCATGCAGAATTCCTTGCTAAATATGGTTTGTCTGCCAGGACCTTCAAGATGGAGTAGATTTTCTTGAATGATGGTTTCCATTTGATGCATACTCCTAGGACAGCTCCTGACACTACCAATTCTAGAAGGTCTTCCTATGAGGTAACATTTACTTTCTGACTGTGAGCACCTCATCTTCCTTGGAAAGTTGATTTTTCTGAGGCAGTCTTCCAAGGACCAAGATGACTGTGCCACAGATGAAGATGCCACAGGCACCTTCAGGGAGGCCCTTGCTATAGGCACAGAAAAGAGCATGTGGCCGTTTAGTGGAGAGAGAAAGTGCCAGAGGGACTCAGACCCCAAGTAAGACAAAGTCAGTCTCCATGGTGGAATCAGGCTTTGGGGGTTTTCAGACAGTTGAGGCCACAGGTATGCTGATGGATAGGTGGATGTGAGGGTGAAGGGCATTCTAGATGCAAGAAATCACTGAAAGCAGCAGGGGCACTATGAACCCCTGTTCTGGAAGAGACAAGAAATCTGAATCCCATGTCCAGGGACCATGCACACATACACACACAAACACATGTGTGTATATAATATACACATACATACTAAGCAGGGCAGTGTATATGTCCACATGTATAAGACAGGCATACACACATACACATGGCAGGGCAGTGTACATATACACACACACAAAAGCACAACACAAAACATGCATACTGTCACATACACACACACACACACACACACACACACACACACACACACACACCCAGGGCTCTCTTTTGATTATATGACAGAGTCAAAGCAGGAGTCAGAAGGAAGATTAGGAGTAGAAGAACTGACCCCTGGATCCTTGTCCCCAGGGAGGGTGGCTGGGCTGGTGTGTGGTTGGGTCCTGAAGGTCGGTGTTGCTCTGTGGAGAGAGGGTATTTCTGGTGGTGGAGAGGATGGGATATGTGGGGGGCAGAAGTTGGGATGGGTGATGGGAAGTCCTGGGCCAGGGGCTCACCAGACCCAAAGAGCTCTGAAACAACTGTTCACGTTGCTGGAATATGAGTGCCTGCAGCACCTTGGCTCTGGGCTTCTCAGTCAAGGGGCTGGCTTGGACAGCACCATACCTTTACCACCATGGCCTCCTCTGCTGCCCCAGGCCTTGGACTATCACCAGACTTCCAGAATTCTCAGGGCATGTTCCAGACACTCCAATGCTCCATTTGCCCTTGACCCCTTTTGCAGTTGGAGCTACTTTGCCACCCTTAGGATGCCTTCCCTCTTGCTGCCCTCCCTTTGTGTCTCCTTCCCATGGCCACTGGGAGGCCACTACCCTTCGGTGTCCTATCTTGGTGGAAAGCCCCTATGTGGGATCTCATTTTCTGCACTAGCTTCAGTGTCCCTGGTGGGAGGCCATGATGAGGGAGGAAGAGCCAGCTGGCCTTATGAGGAAAGTCAGGGGGTTCACACTGGAATGCTCACAGCTGTCCCTGTCTAGGTAGGTGTCCCCCAGTGCGTAGCTGTGATGAGACTCACATGCAGGGATGCTGACCTGCTGTAGGAAGTTCTTCACTAACTCGATGTGCAAGGTGGATGTCTGGAATTGGTGCAACCTCTCCGAGTTCATCGTGTGAGTGCTGCTGGGGTGCCCACTTTGCCTGCTGCCTCCTACCCCTGCCCATACCCCCTGCATGCCTGCACGAGGCCTGTTCATGCCCTACCCATGCTCTTCCCACCACCTGCCCAGGGTGCTGCCTATACCTCTGTGCATATGTTGCCCATGACGTCTGTGCTCTGACTCCCTCTTGCCAGTGTCACATCCCCTCACCCCACTCTCTGGACAATCTAGTAATTCCATTCTGAACATCGCAGGCTGTCTCCCCTGCTCCTCTGAATGTGACCATTTATTTCAGAAGCCCCCACAACTACTCCCCTTCCTGAATGAAGTTGGTGGTCCGCCCTGCGGTGACCACCTCTCTTCACTGTAACATGCTGGGTGGAACTTGTCATTTTTGGGTGATTCTCACAGGCAGGGTCTGTAAGCCAGTGTAGCCCAAAGAAAATGTATCCTACTGCCTTCTACTTGGTGTGGTACAGGCAATGCCTCACCACAGAGGGCTCTGTGTCCTAGAAACTTCCAAAGTTTTTATTTCTTGTGAAGACACTTTGCATTGTCAAGACAAAGAACCATAGTTTGCTTCCTTGAAATCTCTAACCATCTGTGCCCACCCTCCCCGCCCCGCTGTGCTGCATCTCATGCTGCCACAGACTGTGCCACATTGGGTGCCACACTTGCCTGGAGTCCTGAGCCTCTGTGAACCCTGGGTCTACTCAGTCTTTCCCCACCAGAGCTTCTGTACCCACAGACTTTTTTTTTTAACATTTATTTATTTATACAAGAACTGGGGTACAGGTCAGAGGCATGGGAGGGTGAGAGAATTCACCAGAGAGAGCGGGGAGCAGAACAGGCAGATGGACCGAGGACAGTGCTGAGGGGAGCAGTGGGAGAGACAAGAGAGGTCTGCCATACCATGTGGGTTTCTCCCTGGCTGGCCGGGAATCGAACCTGCACTGCAGAGGCTGCAGACAGCTTCACAGCGCAGCGCTCAAGCCGCTGTGCTGCTGGGGAGGCCCTTCCTGATGGCCTTTTTAGGTGATTCCCCAGCACACAGTAGTCCCTGGTGGGCATGACGTATATTTGGTGCTAGGGAATTGTCTGCTGAGCCAAAGAAACGACATTTCTACATCTGCTGGGAATAGGGTGCTGGGGGCTCAGGAAAGGCCTGGTGTGGCTCCTTCTTGCTCTCAGTGAGCTGTGAGGAAGCTTCTGGAGAAGGTGGCCTGGACTTCAGGCCCAAAGTGTATAGAAAAGGGCAGGCATCAGGGAAGATGAGATGGGAACTATGTGTCTTGTGCTTTTGTCACCACCTAAAACCTTGGTTAGGGGATCAGATATCCAGGCAGTCTCGGGGCTGCAGGACAGGAATGGGTGCAGCCAGAAGGGGAGTTTGGGAGTTGGAGAGCAGGTGGCCACTGCTTCACACACTGCTGTGCTTGTGTCTCAGCCTGACATGAAGCCTATTCTTTGGAGCTGCTGAGACAGAGAGTGAGTCCCTCCAAACACATGATGAGTAGACCCCACACCCCAGAGCAGGGGGCTGGAGAAAGTAATTGATACTGTTGGTTTCTTCTACCTGCCCTAGGAGTGTGGGCCTTAGGGTGGGGGCTGGAACCATCCTTCCTGAGGAATGTGATGATGCCCTGGGGGGCCAGAGAAGGGCCAAAACCACCCCAGGAAAAGCTAAGATTTGCCCCAAGATTGGGCAGTAGGATTCCTTCATTGAAATGAGTGTCAGAGGAGGGATGCTGGCTGTCTGACAAAAAGCTCTGACATGAAGACAGAGACCAAGAGTCAGGTAACCCAAGACTGGGGCTCAAGAAGGAAACCTCCAAATGTCATGATCATTATCTCCAGAAAGGTAAAGTATCACACCCGTTAATAAGAAGAGGAAGCCTTCAGGAACAAAGAGAGAGCCTTTAAATGAAATAGAAAACAGAGAATACAGACGAAATCTCCCAGAATGTAGAAAGTCAGAGAGCTGGGAATAGGATGTCAGAGGTCAGCCAACAGGTCTGACTGCAGGGAGCCATGTTGCAGAGAGAACCGGGAACGGGAGGGAGATATTGGGGGAATCCTTCCAAGGGGGGCTTGAGTTTGCAGACTGAGAAGGCTTGTCTATCCCCTGGCATGAGGGCCCCGCCCAGCCACGGATATGAAATCACAGAGCTGTGGAATGAAGAGAAACTTGTCCATGTGTGCAGAGACAAACAGGAGCTCCACAAAGGTGAGAAGGAATTCGGGTCCCTGAAACACATGGCAGCCCTGGAAACCGGGAGACTGGGTTGGGAGACTTCAGAATTGTAGGGGTTGTAATTTCTAAATTGGAATGTTCTTTCCTGTCATTTTGTTAGCCAAGGAAGGGAGCGGTGAAAGCACTATCAGCAGCAGAGCCTCCTGCCTTTTACTTCCCAGGCCCCCGTTCTTAGGGAGCAGTAATGGATGTGCTCCCCAAGCTGAGTGAGAAACCTGAAAAAAAAAAAAGCTCTAGTGAATCAATCCTCAGAGACATTCACTGGGCTCATCTCTTTTAGTCCTTGGCAGCCCTGAGTGTGGGGGATGGGCTCATCCGGAGACCTCATTGTGCACCTACTGTGTGCCAGGCACTTACCAAAGGGTCTATATGTCACCACATTTGGGTCAGTATTATGAACCAGAGAAACTGAGGCCCAGGAGCCTAAGTAACATGACCCAAGTCAGATAAATAGTGACAGCTGAGGTTGGAGGAACTCTGCTAGGTCGACTCTACAACCAAGCCCTAAATTGCTATTCTGCATGTGGGGGTCCTCGGCCACCCCTAGTGCCCCCAGGCTTGCTGATACAGAGTCTTCTCTTGAATCTTGCTGACACAGAGTCTGCTTTGTTTCAGCCCTGCTGAGCTGGGGTGGGTGCAGTGGCATTCCTGGGTGCACTGGGAGGCATCTAGGGAGGTGCAGGGGTTCCTGTAAGCACAGGGTTTCCATAAGACTGCGGATGGGAGGCCCTCTGAGAAGGCTATAGCAGAGTGTCTGGTTAGCAGGCCCCTGAGTTGGGGGCCCCAGGGGAGAGGTGGGTCTGGGAAGGGGATGGCTTTGGTGTGGGTCTGGCTGGTGAGGGGCCCCTGGAGCTTGGGTATACCCAAGGGCCGCATCACACAGATTCAAGGCTGTCCCCTTGCTTTGAGTTCCCTTCTGCCCGGTGTGGGCTCTTCCTTACCTGGGAGGGTGCAGGTGTACCTCTGACCTGGATCCCAGTGTGGGCACTGAGAGAGACCTGGGAAAGCACACAGTGCTGCTGGAGGGTGGGTATCAGAAGGGCCTGACCAAGAGGGTCAGGTCAGTTACCCTCTGTTTCCCGCTCCCTGTGCAGGCAGTGATGGCATTTTGCACAGGAAGTTTCTTACAGGAAGTGGCTTCTCCCTGTTGAGGACTCAGCCAGGCAACACTTCTGGGATAGCACAGGAAGGAGGGGGCAGGCCATGGTGATGGAGGCTCACCTCACCCCAATCCTGCACCTGTCCTGCCTGTAGCCCTCAGCCAGATGTGGGGGGCATGACAATGGAGGGACTTGGTGCCCCTTGGCAGGTGTCCATCCGGCCCGCTCCCCAGATGGGTAACTGCCAGCCTAGGCCACTACTTCTGGAGGCTGCTTGTCCCGTCCCAGGACAGTGAGCCATTGGGGAGTTCTTCATGTGGGTCTGTAGCCCTTGGTGGTCCTGAGGCGGCACTGAGCGCCCTCCCAGGTTTGACTGACACGAACAGGAAGGGTGAGAGCCTTACATGTCCTGTCAGATGTGGCCAGTGTCCCTTCTTCCCAATGTTTGGGAGACAGGGAGACCACACAGGACTGGACCCTGCACCCTCCACGTCCGGGCCAGCACGAAAAGCTGGACGAGCCGGTGGGCATGCCCTCTGCCTTCACAGGTACTGTGGGAGCTTCACCAGCTGCACTCAGGTGCAAAGCAACGCCGTGTGCTGCCATTGGCCCAACCCCCTGGCCCAGAGCTTCATCGCCAGCATCCACAGGCAGTTCTTTTCCAACTGCACCATGGACAGGGCCCACTGGGCAGCCCTCCCAGATGCAGCACTCATCCAGCACATCGCCCTGCCTGTCCTGCTGACGGTGGCCTTGGCCCGCCTGGTGCTGTGGCGCAGCAGACGCCCTGAATAGCTGCTGTGAGGGCTGCCCTTGGAGAGCTGAAAGAAGGTTCCTTGGGGCTGTGAGAGTCAGCCACCCTCTATCCTATGTCCATCATGAGCAGATACCCCCCACCCGCCAGGGACCTGGCTGAACTCATGCTGCGCAGCAAGCTCTTCAGGCTTCCTTGGGCTGGTGGCCCAGAAACTGTGCTGAGGCTGGAGCTTGGATGCTGGGCATGAATCACTGCTGCTGCCACCTTTGCGTCTCCCCAGCCGGATGGGTGCTTCCTGCAGGTTTCCAGGCCACTCCTTGACCTGACCCACCTCCTATTCTGACTCCACCCCTGGTTCTGGTCCTACTCTAGTCCTGTCCTTCCCCTTCCCCAACACTGAACCCACTTATACCTCTGGTTTGGCCTTGGCCCCTTTCTCAGCTGTCCTGTCCACTCCCACCTGAGCTGGAGTGTAAGGGGACAAGGTGTGAGTGGGGTATGTCTCATTCCTTGATGGCTGTGCCATCCCTGAGCCCTCCTGGTGCAGAGCACCCACATTTCCTGAGACTAGAAGAAGCTGGGAGACTAAGGGGCAAACTGGGGGTTCCCAGGAGCCTTGCATGACCTGCAGACCTGCTGTCCGGGTCCACAATGAAGGGCTAGACTGGGTGTTGGCTAGAGCCCCTTTGGGGATGCCAGGGTGCCCTGCGCTAAGCCTGCTGCGTGGGTGTTGGGGCCTCTTTTCTTAAGGGGCCTCTTTCTTAAAGGTGCCCTCCCCCATGGGCTCCAGTGCAAATGCTCATGTTGTGTGAGCTGCCTGTGGCTTTCTGTGCTTTTTCTTAGTAAAGAATCGTCCCGTTTCTGGAGTTTCCTGTTTTCTTTAAGGGTCTGCAGAGCGAGGGCTATCTTTTAGGACTGACAAATACACTCTACAGTTAGGGAAAATTTGAGGTCCTAGAACCTTAGAATGTGGGAGCTCAGAGGGGCTCAGAGTGCATGGGGTGTTTATGTGGGCCATGGGTAGGGGATCTGCTTCTCTGGTTTATAGAGGGTTGGCAATTTCCACTCACACCTTGCACTTTGAAGATAGAGAATAGATTATTTGTCCTGCTTGCATTTTGAGGTTGCCTTGGGCTTGACAGGATCCCCATCTGGATGGTTTTCTGGGGAGGGGTATAGGCCCTGGCAGGGATAGGTAAGGCCAATGCTGGTGGAGTCTGCACGTGTTTCAGTTGTGACCAAGGGCATGTTTGCATGTGGGCCCGGTGGTGAGAATGTGGGTGTGAGTGGAGGCTGGATGGAACTGTCCCTGAAGAGGCCCCACACTCCTCCTGTCCAGCAGGCAGGTCTTGCTGGGGTCAGAGATCTGGGTGGCTCCCAGGCTTGCTGGTGTGGGGCACTGTGTAGGGCCAGAATCTGAGTTCTGCATATTCCTGATGCAGCCTAGGTTCTGACCAATGGTGACGGGAACATGGCCTGCTTGTGCCTCTGCTGGTCATCTCTGAGATGGAATCTGCCAAGTGAAGTCAGAGTGCTCAAGGGTGTCAGATGGTCTCAATCCTTAAAAATATTGACCATCCTCTCAGATAGTGTTCTGGGGGTCAAGCTGCTGCCATGGGGGTATAGCTGCCCCGGCCACTCCCAACTGGGTGCCTGTGGAGCACAGCCTGCCATGCGTGCCTTTCCTTCCCTCGGTCCTTGCCTCCTGGGTCCCAGAGAGCCCCAGCCCCAAAGCTTCCCCGAGGGAGGGCTGTGGGTGCTCCCAGAGTCATCTTCTCTGGTCACCTTGTTCCCACGGATCCAGCAGCTGAGAGCTGAGGCTGGTCTGCAACCTCTCCCCAAGCTCAGGCGGGCAGAGCAGTGAGGCCAAGGAGAGGGGCTGAGAAGGGGACCCAAAGGTGCAAGCAATGGACAGTGATTTTTGTGGGCTGAGGGGCTTGAGGGTGAGCTGGTTATATCCTTTGGGTCTGGCTGTGGGGCATCTGGGTGGCCTTGGGTGACCGGGGCCAGGTCTGGGGTGCTGCTGGCAGATATCAGGCATGTTGGGCAGGTGGTAGGGTGTTTGCAAGTCACACAGGCCCTCATTCTTGGGGCTCCTGATTTCCTCGCCACCTGGCACCAGGCCCCCTTGAGGTCAGCCTGCTTTTCTCCCAGTGGCCCTTACACAAAGGTGTCAAGGCAACCAAAGGGCCTCAGCCTCAGAAGGCAGGGAAGAAACTGACATCCCTCTCCAGGTGTGCTGACATCTTTCCAGGCCACGGCTTTAAGGCTTTCAACCCCTACATGCATGTGTGACGCCAGAGGAGGGAGAACTCTCTTTTCTTTGAATTCATTTTCTTTCCTTTACTTGGGATTTTAAAATTTTCTTTCCCATCAGTCCCCCATGTAAAATTCTTAAATTTGTTTCCTATATTATTGCTCAGTATTTTTGGTTTCAAGAAGAGAACCCCAGCTGGTGGGAACAGCAATAGCTCGTCATTAGAGCACACGGGCATCTGAGCTTGAGATTGTGGGGTGGTCCTGGGAGGTCACTGTCCCTGATGCTCAGAGGAGCTGGTGGTCTTCCAGATGGTCCTTGACAGGTAGAGATGGGGAGAGGGCACTTAGGTACAGGAACAGGTGAACCAAGACATGGGGGGAGACCCTGGAGTGTGTGGGATCCAGGGCTAGGGGACTGCTCTGGGCCAAGTGTGGAAAGGGTGGAATCCTATTTTGGCACAACCTAACACAGTATACAGGCATACCTGGGTCCATGCGTCAGGGGACCGCTGCTGCCTGATGCTGGTCCTGCACTCATGGTCTTCCCCTGCACTGGCTCCAAGGGACAGGATGGGGACTGCGCCTGCCTGGAGCTCTGCCATTCTGCTCTGGGGCCATAGTACGTGGTCCCAAAGGCAAGGCTGGACACGAGGTAGCTTTGTCCTGAGCAGAGAAGGCCTGGCCTCTCTCAGGCACCACTGGCAGACCACAGGCCTCTTAACCCCCATGGGGTCTGCCTTGCCGTTGGGATTCCTGCGACCATGAAGTAGGGGGTCTTTTCTTAGCAGATGAGAAGAAGGGGGTGAGAGGTTAGAGCATTGGGAGGTTAGAGCAGAATGCAGGGCTGGGAGTGCACCGGGTGAGGGATGAGGTGAGAGGAGGCCAGTGCTAATGAGGGAGGTGAGTATGGGAAGAAGCAGCATCAGCATGAGCTTAACAAGCCAAAGTATAGGCCAGCTGGTTTCTCCCTACCAGAGAGATGTAGGGAAAGGGACCCTACAAACAACCCCACCAAGTGCAAAGTGAATCTTGAAGACTGGTCTCAGATCCACCCCTGCAAATGTCCCTATTGCATTGCATACACCTCCCTATGTGTGTTTCAGTTCGTGTCAAAAGCAGCAGACCAGCAGCAGATGCAGTGGAGTCTAACAGTGAGTGTGACATTCTCGGTGATAGATAAAGTCTGGGATAGAGGTAGCCCTGGGACCCTCTGGGGAAGTGTGTGTGAGCCCGCGCTCTGCTCATTGAGGAGTGATGTATGGGCTCACACTTCAGGGAGACAGACCCTGTTAAAGGAGTCCAAGCCACCCCGCTAGATGAGTGGGTGCTTGTGTCCAGGGGTGCTTGTTATGTTTAGGGGTGACAGGTCATGTCCAGGGATGTCTATTCATGTCCAGGAGTGTCAGATCAAGTGGGATGCTGCATCAAGACACCTGCCTGTTGCTGCCTTTTATGTATTCATTTTTTAAAAGACATCTGATTTTATTGCTTCCATGTGGGACACTGGTTGTCGACTTTAGTGCTGCTGTATTTTGGTTAAAAGTGGATATGCTCTACTTGCAAAGTAGCCCAATGAATGCAGTGAGTAGAAAAGCCTGGATCAGAGCCAGGTGTGAGGAAGAGGCTACAGAGGAAGGTCTTTTGATCAATTTCAGATTTCCAGAAAAGGCCAGTCTTCATGTCTTGGTACAACCAAGCACTTCCTTGGTAACAGGCTATGTGGTCCCCCAAACTGCTGCTTGTCATCCCAGCCCAGGGGGCATGGATGGCATCGGGACCTGAGCTCCTGTTCCCTCGATCATCTTACACAGTTTGGGAGAAGCCTCTGTGCCCTTCCTGCCCTGTCCTTTCTGCTGTCCTCTCTGGTTAACATCTCACGCATTCTGGAATCCTCCATGACTACTTTTTTTTTCTAGTTAGAAACATTTTATTTAGGACCTCCCTGGTGGCCTAAGGGGTTAAAATGCAACCTATGAAACTATCCACAGTCACTGCAGCACGAGTTCAATCCCCAGCCAGGGAGCTACCCACATGGTGCAGCAGACCTCCCCTGTCTCACTCGCTGGTTCCCTCAGCAGTGCATTTCAATCTGCCTGTTCTGTTCCCCACTCTTTCTCTGGTGAATCCTCTCCCCCCTTCTCCCCTACACATCTGGCCTGTACCTTAGTTATTATATGCATAAATAAATAAATCTTAAAAAAGAAGCATTTTACTTAAATGGTCATATAAACTCCCACCTTCTCAGACCATGTGATGTTGATACATTCAACAAAAATATGTATTATCTAATTGCTGTGAATTTACAGAATAATCATCCAGATCCATTTTGATTAGATGGTTGAAATATTCTTCTCCTAAGTTAATTTTTACAGTCATCACAAATCCCTTACAATACTGTAAACAAAATAACTTTTCCAAAAGGTGAACTAAAGAACTCTAGTCATCACTGCAGGACTTGCACTACTTTGTGGACTTCCTGATGAGGAGCATTTGCTTCTTGATCTTGAAGGAGGACTGGATCTTTGATTTGAACTTGACTGCAGTTAGAAATACTTTGATTCTTTTACAGAACCAGACGTAGATGGCTGGATATGAAGCTGATCTTGATCTGTGAAGAGATGTGGACTCTGACCCCTGCCCCTTGCTTCTGCTGCATGATCCAGATATCGCCTACCTCTGCATCTTGAATGTCATCTAGATGATGACCTGCTTCTTCTGCAGCTATAGCGATGCCAATCATAAGCACATGGTCCCTTTTTGCCACACTCATAGCAGCTGTCAATGGGAT